CTTTTGTTAACTTCAGTACTCTGTTAATTTCTGAATTTTAGTTATTGTCTTGTTTAATTTCAAACCTTTAATTTTAGCATTAATAAATTTTATTTTCTTATTTTCTACAATTCTCAATTGTATTCTTTTTCCCGGATCTAAGTACGTAACAGTTTTTCCCTTGTTTCTCTGTGGATATGACCCGTTCTCACCCATTTACTGCATTTGTATTTGTTTGAGAATTGGAAAAATTTTATAAATGTTTAAACTGGTGCTCCTAAGTGGTTAATGACACGCTTCCGGACACACCAGGTGGGCCCCTTGGCACGCCAAGGCAAACGAGGCCGTACACGCCTCGTCACCTCTACAGAGTATGGTGACCCCCTCGGCTACCTATACTTAGCGCAATAAAAATAGTGACCCCGACTACCTCGGTGGTTCGCTCCGACTCGAACCCCCGGCTTCGCTGGTGGTAAGCCTCGACCTCCCCTAAGGAAACCCTTGGTGAGAAACAAGCCAGGTGAACTGCACCCCGATAGTGCTGCCCCACCTCGGCTCCTCGTCCTCCCAAGTACCTCGGCGATATACCTCGGCAAACGACCTTGGCTAAGGCGCAGCCTTGCCTAAGTTGACACTTAAGGAATTCTGGAGGTTCTCGGCAACATACCTCGGCCAACGACCTCGACTATGGTGCCAAGTCACCTTGGCCTTGCTTAAGTTGACATTGAGGAACTCTGGAGTCGGGCGAGCCTCACTTCGGACATGTGGCACCGCCTCGGTTCCCAATGCCCTAACTACTTAAAGCGAGCGTGCAAACAAACTACGTGTACTATGAGCAAACTGCACGTGTTTTGTGTGTTGTGGTCCCGTTGTTCGGAGGGTCAAAAACCTCTCAAAGAAGAAGAAAATGAAGAAAGAAAAGAAAATAGAAAGACACAACATACACAAGGCACAACATTTACAAAAAATGGCTTCATTCATCATTAATTCTTTGTGTTGCCTCTACAAAAAGTTTTTGAAGGCCTCGTACCAAATACATGTACATTCAAAAAAAAAAAAAAAGAGAACAACAAAAACAACAGCTAAACAAAAAGAAAAGGGGAGGGGAGGGGGAGATCCACGCCTAGGCCTCGCCACCGGTAGGAGGAACGGAGTCATCAGCAGGCTAGGCTTCGTTGGGAGCATCAAGGATCACTTGCAGCCCCTCGATGCCAAAATCCAGCATCACTAGTAGGAATGCCTTCTTCATGTCCTCAATCGCGTTGAGGTAGGATGACGGAGCATACTCTGCAAGCGCATCCTGATAGTCGAAGAACTTCTTGTATGCCTCCACCGCTTCAACCGTTGCCTTCTTTGACTGCTCCACTGATGCCATGGCTTCAGTAGCCTTCTTCTCTGCCTCTGCAGCCCTTCCTTCAGCCTCGGTTGCCCGCCTATCCGCCTCGGAGACAATGCTCTCCAACCGGACTTTTCCACCTGTTCCTTCGAAAGACCTTGTCACGCCTCCTTCAGCTGTATTTCAAGGTGCTCTCGAATAGACTACTCGTCCAAGAATGTCTTCCTAAACTTTTGGTATTTTTCCTCGGCGGTGGCAACTGTCTTCTAGAACCTGTACTGATGGCGGAGTTGAAGAAGGCCCAAATGGGTGCTCCCCGGGCGTGAACCTCCTTTGCCTGGCGCACCGCATTGGCCAACTTCCGCGACGTCTCCTCCCTCGGCATATCTACGGCGAGCCTCTTCCGACCCGCCTCGGCCCCCTCCGTGGGCCTCTTCGGCACCTCAGCCCCCTCGACCGGCTTCTTCGGCACCTCTAATGTCTTCTTGGCCCCCTTCAAGCGCCTCTTCACCCCACCGGCAAGCTCTTCGGGTGCCACCATTGGTTGCTTCCCCTTGGCGGGGACTTGCTGATTTCTCCCCTTCGTCGAGACAGGGGGGGGCAACCTCTTCGCTAGGCCGCTTTAGCGTCTGTCCCCCGACATTCTTCCCGACTTGGTTCGTCTGGGCCTTCTCGAGAAGTCATTGCTTGCCATCCATTGGCACTTTTGCGAACAGCAAAAGAAAATTGTTAGTACAACAAGGCAAAGACGTGGAAGGTGTGCTAAGTAACTACAAAACCTCTCCTACCGAAGGTGGCAGGGCTAATCCCAGCGAACAATAGTGTGACCTCCTCCTCCACCAACGGCTTCGCCCAGAATGTCCCCATCACAAGCAGATGAGCTATGGTAGCAGCCTCTTCATCTCGAAGCAGAAGGGGACATCTCTCGACGACTACGTAGGCCTCCCCCAGTCAGAGCCGAACCTCTAGCCTTCGAGGCATGAGACGTAAAAGAACTTGTTCTTCCACCCATGGACGGACGAAGGGTTGTGCACCGGCTTCCCTCTCCGGGGGTGGAAGTAATACATGTTGGCCTCGGAAGCATGCATCCTTGGTGCGAACATGGCGTAGAACATTCTCAACGTCAGCTCCACACCTTGAAGCCGAGCCCACACTAGCATTGCTATGATGGTCCTAAGGGCATTAGGGACAAGTTGACTGATGGTGATACCGTACCACTCCAGTAACTTAGAGATTAAGGAAGGGAGGGGAAACCTAAGGCCAAACTCTAAAAAATGATGGTAGACGCAGATTTCCCCCTCCTCAGGGGTCCACGGCTGATCACCTACATCGGGGACCCTAAGATCATAAAACCGGGGTATCCCTGACGAGGAGGTTCTGCTAGGCTCACCCGTCGCAACCCATAGGGCAAACCGCGGGGCCTACCCATCGTGACCCACTAGGTGGACTACTCAGCCCAGCAAGCACGTGCCTATCTGCGTGACCATCCTCCACACGGTGGACCCCTAACATGGCCTGACCGTACGTGATACAGACCAACCCCGCTAACCCGAGGCATCCACGCCACACGCATCTCTGACCCGATGAGGAGGGTAGACACGCACGAAGTGAAAGTGACACCATTGTAGGATACCCCTCAGTTGACGAATCCGAAGGGATAACGATCGCTATTCCCAAAAACCGACGTCGAGGCCTTACCCCGGCTATCATCTCCAATACTAGCTGAAGCCCAGGCTTCATCTCGGCATCGGTAGTGGGAGGCAAGTGATGTGGGCTATCCAAGCCCAGTCCATTACGGGTTGGGAGGCCCAGCCCACTAACGCCTGACAACGCCAACCATAGCAAGGGGGGAAGCCCTATTGCCTTCGTATGGAGCCAACCGCAGAGCGGTTAGGTGTACTCGCAAGGACCTGTCACCTGACTTCGTATGGCCCTCATCTGGTGCGTTCATCTCCACCTACCTCTAGCTCGCTCAAATATAAATATTAGGTAACTCTCCCTTTATAAGGGGCCAAATCCCAGAATTTTGATACGGCTCTTTCATTTACTTCCAACACCTACCTCGCTTCCTTAGCATTTATTCTTGGGGACCCAATGCATCCGAGGACTACCACTGAGACCTCGTCTACACCTCCTCCTGCCTTAGACCTCGTACTAACTTGAGCATTGGAGCTTCCGCCTTGGGTCTCCACCCGAGGCCACTAACACCTCTTGTTTTGCAGTACCTCGGATCTCCAAGAACCTTGTTACCGAGATGACGAACTATAGTCCTCGGCTTCTACCATACTCAGAAGGGAGCATCTCACCTCGGCTTACCCTCTTCAGAGCCCTCAATGCCTTCGGCCTGCCTTCGGAACTTGGGAGTGAATTTACCTTATTGCCCTCAGCTAATTTGAGCTGCAACAAATATGTTATATGTATTAGTTTATATTTGATTTATGTTTTTAATTCAATTTTTAATTTATAAAAATATTAAAAATAGAAATTTAAGGCCAAAAAAAAGAGTTTTTTTCATGAAAATAACAAGGCAAGGCGCCTATGGCACTTTGAGATGCATTGATCTCGAAAAGTTGCCCAAAATAAAAATAAATCATCCCAATCAGACATCGGAGTGCAAAGTTATGGCTTTCGAAAGTTTTGCATGCATTGAAGGTGCACCCAGCGACCCAGTCACTAGGTCGAACAAGTCAACGATCAAATCGGTTGGGTCAAACAATTCTTGACCAAATCAATAGTTTGACCATCTGATGGATCTTTGACTAAATTGGACCTAGAATCCTGGCCAAGTGCCGATTTGAACAGTTCAACCAATAGGGTCAACAATGGGTTGAAATCATTGGCCCATACAATCAAACAATGCCTGACACAACCCACAGTCCATCGTGCTAAGCCATTCCAAGCCACAAGCAACACGACCCGATTTAGACATACTTACCATTCGAGTTCGCATTAGCAAATTAGAGAGGTGCCCGATTTAGACATACTTACCGTTAATTGGGAACATCTCCCAATGAGTTGGCCCCACATGCAAGCTTAGATGTACATATGTATATATGAACACATACATCTATGTATTAATACTTCTAAAAATACGATTAGATATGTTTGCATCTTTTCTAATAAGATTGTAAATTTTAATTATTTTATTTATATTTTTTAAATAAATTAAAAAGTAAAAATAAAATAGTTAACATTATAAAAAATAACAAGGAATGGAGATCCCTGACGGAGATGAGGAAAGAATCCCAACCCCCACCCCGTTGCCATTCCTACCCCACCCTGACAACTAGGGGTGTCAATTGGATTGAATTTAGTCTAATCTGATCCAATCCAATATGAGTCCATATAAATAGACCGGGTGCAATCCAATCCAAATAATATTTTGAATCAGTCCAATTCAATGTCTAAACCATACCATCCAATCTGTTCAAACTCGTTTTGATTTAGATTGATTTCAACCCAAACCTGGTCCATTGACACCAATATCTTGTATCAATGGACCAAATATTTTGGCTTAATCCAACCTAATCCAATATAAATTTATTAAGGACAAACCAGGTCCAATCCAATCTAATAAATATTTTGGACTGGATTTGTCCAATCCAATGTCTTGTCCGTCCATCCAGTCCGTCTAAATTGATTTTGGACTGGATGGGGTCCAATCCTAAAAACAAAAAAAAGGGAGTATAATAAACAGGCCCTTGTTCCATAAAAACAAATTTTCATACATAATTTTGAACCTGAAGACAAGGCAAAGTTACAACCCATGCACACCAAGACTTTTTCACAGGTTTTCTATGTCGCACAATTCCTGATGTATGTTTTCCACTCTTATCCAAATGGTAGTAATCAAAACGATTACACAAGAAAAATAGATAAAACAAACAGAGCTAAGCCAAAAATAATAAAAAACAATAGCAAAGGAAAATGAAGCATGCATGATATGATGAATGCATTGTGTATGTGATATCAACAAAAAATAGACACCTATGGAAAAAATGAAGATGACGATCAAATATTGCTAATGCAGGATATATAAACACCTAAGCATTATGTGGGAGATTACAAGTCCCACATAATGAGAGTATAGGAAAGAGCGAGAGGAGATGATACCAGACCGACTCTGACAGACAACAAGAATAATGCAGGTCTGAATACAAAATTCGTATTGAAAGAGAAGAAAGAAGCGAAAGTGAATAAAATAAAATGGGATGAAAAAGAGCAGAAATACTCTTGGAGAGTGTTTCAAGTGCTGCAATATTTGAAGCAACTCTCAAACAGCACTTTGATTGCTCGCCTGTTGGGAGAAAGCACCAGCTTGGTGGGATGGGGTCTTTGATAAGATGCAACTCTCAAACAGAACCAGCATTATACTGTGGCAATGGTAAAAACAGCCAAAGCTGTGTCTGCTCAACCGATCGCAGCCACATTTCAGTCCCTTCTTCACTCCTCCCACGCCACTTTTTTTTCTTTTTTATTATTTCTTCTCCAAGGGGAGGTTCTCACCCATTTGTGTGCAAAGTTAGCAGAGGCAAGTAGGTCCCACCACCCACTTCCTCAAATGTCAAATGAAAAAGACCCGCCTCCATCGTGCTGACATGAGTTAGTAACAACCCAACAAACCCTAACTCCTGTGGTGCAAAAACGGTGACAACCTGACACATGGTATGCAATCCCAGACCCCAACTCGACACACCCAAATGCATGCAGGGACTTCTACATAAGAATACACCAAGAGACGGCAGCTTCAAACAGAAATTGCTCGACTGATAGCCAACTTGGCCCATTCGGCAGATTCCTTGATCAAATGGTCATCTAATGACAAGCATTCATTTAGAAAGTCTCGGCTTGACACAGATTGTTGAATCAAAGGACCTGCATTACCACCCAGAGTATCAGCAAGATCTCCCAAGACTCCTATTGCAGTCTTCATCACCAAATCGTCCCTGAAAGGAAGGTAAAAAAAAAAGTTGTCAATAACAAAAGATAGAAGAACGAGCAACAAACCAAAATGAAAGGACTCCATTAGAACTTACATATCTTTCTCAATGTACAAGCTATCCAAGAATTGGAGAATGTGAGGGGCATACGGCATCAATAGCTGTGTCTTGGGAGAGTTCTTGAAGCCTTGGAAAATCCCCGAGTATGCTTCCAAAATCCCATTTCTTAGAACATTGGTGTACTCTATTATTTCTTCATCAGCCCCCGAGGCACGGGCAAACAGTTCTGCAGCACTCTGAAGCATGGGCATGGAATACATCAAGTACTTCTCAAAATTTTCTCCTATCGCCAGGGCAATGTCACCAAAACATGAGAATATTGGAGGCTTGACAGTACGATGCAATTGATTGCTTGACAAGTTTTTGAGAAGTTGTGTCATGATTCCATCACAATATGGAAGTATTTTATCCTCCAATGCCCTGCATATATCCCCAACCACACCAACTGTGATGGCACATACCTGATACTCCTCAAAATTCTGGAGGCCCATTTCCAAATACTTGTAAAATTCGGGCATGTACTTTGCAAATTCAGATCCTGTTGCATAGGCCAAGGCTCCAATAGCAAGCATGGCCTCTTCGTGCACTGTTGCACTTCTACAAGCAAAGACCCTTAGAAAGAGAGACATCATCTGATCTGCATATTGCATGAACACAAACCTTGTTGGCTCAGAGGCCCCCAACTTTTGTGTGATGACCTGCAAGCATCCACATAGAAGGCCTTGCAATTCATTTTGTTTTTCCCTCTCATCAGATGAAAGCTTTTGTGCTTCTAGTGTCTGATGGAGCTCCATCATTATGAGAGGAACTAACTGCATTACCATGGGAGTCGTCTCATCTGTTGAACACCTAACAACTTCATTCAATGTCTCATAAGCAGCAGTGCGGAGGCGGGATTCGCCTGCATCTTCTCTATGTGTCACAGTAAGAAGGGCTTGAACAATTTCCTGGAAAAAAGGTGTTAGGGGGGAGGAAGATGAGCCCACATCCTCATAACCTTGTGCAAGAAAATAGAGTGCACCACAAGCCTTCTCAGCAACATTGGGAGCATCTTTCATGACCTGGAGCAAAACTTTTATGATCTCTTGGCAGTTTGCCTGGGTGATTATGGGTGTTTCCACTGTTGAGCCATGAAGGAATTCAAAAATTCTTCCAAGAGTCCATGCAGTAGTGTCCTTCACGTGGTTGTTAGGGTCCTTCATCAATGCAGTAAGCATAAAGATCAACGCAACATTAACAATAGAGATGAGTTTTTCAGGAGATGGACCCTCCAAGATAGATCCAAAGGCATAAGTTGCCGCCTCCCTTTGCCGCCAATCTGGTTTTGTTATGTTCTCTTCAATAAAAGGCATAACCAGTGGAACAACATCATCCCCAACAGTCTTTGCAACTAAACCCAAGCATGTCCCCCCTGCCATTGCAAGGTTCCATGCTCCTTCATCTTGATCCTGATCCTCTTCCTGCTTAAGGAGTGTCTCCAATAGCATAGGGACAAGAGCAGGAAGAGCCTGCTTAATAAAATAGAAGCAAATGATTTCAGAGTCACCACTAAAATCACCCCCATATTCTTCTAAGATATCTATCTCCTCATCACAGATTGAACTCCAGAACTCAATAGCCTGGAGAGCAACTGGCTCCTCATCTTCCCTCACTGCTTTTGATGTTATGTTAAAAATGTCCTGGATGTATGGAGATAGCTTATCGTAATAGGTTGAAGAAATGGAGACCAAACACTCAAAAGCTGCTTGCCTTATCTTCAACTCAGATGATAAAGTTGCTTCACATACAACTCTCATGATGTAGTCTCGCTCCATATCATTGGTGAAATTCACTTGGGCAAAGCCCAAAGCATTATACAATGCACGTGTGGCAGCAAGCCTGATATCATTGTTCCCTTCAGTGGCATTCATACCCTGAACCACAGCGGTAAGTATATTGTTCACTTGATCTTGGTCTACAACATCTGGAGAAACTTCCTCACACAAATATCCAAGTGTTTCAAGTGTTGCCTGCTTGACATGACCAGGAAGCTGATGAATGTTTGATAAGAGTGCACCTATCAGCTCTGGCCATTGGTTATGTGGCAACTCAATGCCCGCAATCTTTGCAATAACTTGGGATGCAGTTGACCGAGCATCAGGTACAGGAGAAGAAAGGGTTTGCAACAAGCATGATTTAATCTGGGCTTTCACAGTTGTGTCTAATGACAACCATCTCTGTACAAGCTCAAGTTTTCTATGCTGTTCTTTTGCATCCAAGGCATTTTTGAGGATTAAACCAGCTAATTTACGGCTATCGACAGGCTTATCATCATTCGACAATTCACCAGAGAGTGATAACAAGAAACTGGGAAGGTTTTGCTCCTGAAACTGTTTGAGGCTTTCTTCTGCATGTTTCCGTACTGTACCATCAACAGCTTGTGCGTTCAAGAGTATCTGTGTGACTTCCATTGCCATATTGTATCTGAGTACAAACAGATCCAATAAATCAAGGAATTTGCAGTCAGTAAAACCATTATAAGACACAACACTCGAGTTGAGATTCTCCATGAAAAAGAAAACCAATCAATAATGTAAACTGATGTTAAAAAAAAATAGAAAGGTAAAAGCAACAAGAAAACGGAAATTACATTAATGTATCAGCAATAACCTTTTCTACAGCACAGATTGTTATGTTTGATCACACAAATGGAAGCATGGCAGAGCTGCAAAAGATCATGGGTCTGTATAACAGAAAAGTGAAACATGAAAAGGAAGGAAACAAAGTACATGTAAGAGAAAAAGTACAGAAATGGGAAGAAGGTTCTCAAATTAATCATGGTAGTAAACTCTGGCTATGAAGTTTTGAAAGGAAAGTAAGGAAACCGAAAATCCACTCAACCAACAAGTATTTCCTACAAACGAAAAGCCAAAAATTAACCGTTGCACCTAGTAAGTACCCAAAGTAACAGCGGATCACAGCACATCAAGCGAATCAACACGATTACTGGTATACAGGATCGAAATAAATAAAAAATCCAACTCCTACTCGGGATAGAAAATAAATTAAACGTGAACTACTTTTAAATACATCTACGATCGGTTCTTATCTCTAACCTAAAAGGACTAAAAATGATTTCTGCAATAAAAGTGTGAACTTTCCTTCTCTAATGCATCACGATCAAAACCCTAAAAGGAAAATCTCAAAACTTAGAAAACCGTTGCAGAATAAGAAAATACATATATACACATAAATCGATATCGTAAATTAAATTCTAATTCAATACCATAGAACCGAAGTCACAATAAAAGAGCAACAAACAGAACCATCGCCAACCACTAAAATGAAGAATTTAAACCAGCAATCGTTATTCGGATTGGAAACAAATCAATTTCTGATAAAAACTTACATAAACTTGATTTGTCGCGTCTCCTATACCACGATCAAGGGTCTGCCGGGGGGGGGAATACCTGAAACCCTAGGACAAAGAAGTGGTAGATGAAAGAGAAGAAGCGGACGCGAATATAGAGCTGGAAATACAGTCTATTTCTATTTTTTCTCTATATATATAAAGTTATAAACATTATTTATTGAATTTTTTATTATTTTAAGGCAACTATTACTAAATTGCCCCTATGTTTCAAATTCAAACCAAAAAAGAAAAGGGGAAATCGTTCTTTCCCGCTTTCCGCACTATTCTCTCGTCAGTCGTCAGTCGTCAGTTTTAGGGTTTCGTTTCTCTAGCATCCACCATCCCGCAGAAGCCACGTCTGTTTATGTACGGACTCGCTCCCAATTTATCGCGACATTTTGCCATTTTGGTAAGTTTAGGACCGTTGGATTGAAATACGAGAAAATCACGGACCGGCTGTGTACGGTGTACCATGTGGATTCAGTTTTCAGCGGCATCCCTTCTGGGTTCTGACGATTCACATCTTCGTTCTTTTGTGATAAGAAACAAGAAGGTAAATATATCAGTTCAGGCCCCAGGCCTGATTTGGCCCGGCCCGATATTAGTCAAGCTCAAAGCCTCAAAGCCTCAAAGCCAATTAGCCAAAGGTTCAAGTCAACACATGTGACCCTGCTGATGCTGTTACGGTCCCTTTTGGTATATTGCTCTAGTTTTACATCAAAACGTGTAATTCCCACTTGTAAATCTACAAAATATTTTAAATAATTTAATTTAACCAACATTACCATCCATTTATATAGTGCTGAAGCATGGAGTATTATTACCAAAAAAAAGCATGGAATACAATATATCAAGGAAAAATCTACGATGCAGAAAAGATATAGTATAGAATGAGTTTCGATCAATCAAAATTCATCCACGAATTTTGATAAATAATACCATGTTCCTTATTACTTCTATGATTCTGATTTATTAGTCAGTTGGTTTTTGGATATCGTATCTTTTCTATATTATAGTCGACAATTCAGAACTTAAAATCCAGTGATCCAGTGAGCTTCCTACGTCCGGGAACGGGTTATTAGACGGTTCCTATGAGTTGAGTTATGAATGATCTTTAATTTATGATGGTTAAACCAATTTACTGTAACCCTAATAAGATTTCTTTGTGTCTGAATTTTCATCCTGTTTGAATCTGACCACTTGACTCTCTCTCTCTCTCTCTTGACGTACAAATCCAAACGGTGGGGACAGGAGGGTCCTTTTTGGGTTTATGACTTTATTCATGGTAATGACTAATGAACAGGGTTCTTGATTGTTTTAGTTTAGACAGTATTTTCAAAACTGGACCAGATCGGACAGTCAGACAAGAAAAATTAGGAATTTGTTTTCAAAACTTGACCGATTTCATTTTACTCCAAAATAATTTTTTAATCAAAAACTATTTATTTGGTCAATAAATTATTGACTCAGGTGATCAAACCGTCAAACGATCAACCTACACAATAGTTTTTGAACATTTTTTTATTTTTTACTTTGGTTTTAGGCATCGCCCACAGCCCTGTATGCCACGGAGAAACCCAGTATTCAGTCCAATCACTTAGGTTGCCTTTGGTTTGATTTTGATAAATAAAAAGTTGAGAAAAAGTTATGTATTAAAAAAAAAAAGTTGAGAGGAAGTTGTTAAGGAGTTTTGCCAATTACTAGAAGAGTCCATGAATTCACAAGCATATCTATCATCATCTCCCCATGCCCATTATGCCCCCCCCCCAATCATTCACTGTATGAGCTGGATGTTTGCAAAAGTCCTCGATACTCATATAGAGGAATCCATCTTCTCACATGGCAAATGGTAGGCCTAACCATGTTTACAAAGATTAGTATCCAATAAAATAAAGTTGATGACCAACATAAGGGTAAGGGAGAACCAATTGATAGAAAAAAAGTAAACAAAAAAGGCAAGTTCAACCTCAACATCTCTTTGTTTTTATTATGGTGTTGGCATTAATAGATGACAAATCAATCAGATAGACACCAGCTAACTCACTGTCATATTTTATTTGCAAATTCTTCCACCATAACCAATCCTATCCACCTTGCAAAATTAGCACATCACTTGGTCCTAGTTTGAGGACAAAGTCTAAACTGATCTGGCTCTATTTTATAGTATCTTGCATAGTATTTTGAGTCCTGTCCTAATTTAACACCCAAATTGATTAGGAATGTAAACAAATTATATGAGATTTGAATCAGAGTATATCCGAATCTAATTTGATAGGATTTAAATTCTAAAAATTTTAATGAATTATTAAGAAAAAAATATAACAATTTATATAAAAAAAAAACAAAAAATATAACTACTTTCATCATATATATTAATATATACATGTCTTTTTATAAAAAAGAAATACAAAAAGTACAATATAAACATATTTAAGGGGATGATTTTAATTTTATCCGATTTTCAATCGGGTCCCATTATCTGATCCAAAAATGCTAGAGAGGTCAGGTTAGCTCGAGTACCTCAGGCACCTCGGCCAAGACCAAGGTCCGAGCAGCTTGTGATGGCCCGACCTGTCGAGGTGACACGTAGCCAACTTCTAAGAGCTAGCCAACTGTCTCTGACCTCTCCGAGATCATGCCACATGTCCGCAAGCCTTATCCTTATCCCACCCGAATCGAATGGACTCGATAAGCCTTATCAGCTCACATGAAGTCCATCTCCAGGCATAGAACGAACTCATGGTAATGCTAGCTGGGGATCTTGGAGGTGTTTTGTAAGACCCACGACAGGTTGCCTATATAAGGGCTCCAATCCCATCACTACAAGGTACATGCGATTATTGATTACTAGCTCTTTTGCTTACTAAATCCTTCAGCTCGCAAACTCCACTCACTAACTTAAACATCAGAGTGCCCACACCGGGTAAGCCACCCTGGGTTCTCTGATTGTACTTTCCTGCAATTCAACCAATTGTTTAAGCAGACCAATGCCCAAGCTGCCATCCAGCTAGGAGCAATCAAATTGTGCACCATCAATAATAATTTTGAATGAGATGTCTGAAATATCATTTTATAGGACAAATAGAGGACGGTTTGAGAAGAGAAAATCAGAAAATAAGAATTACCAAAGCCATGCTTGTTTGTAATTAGTTAAAATCAAGTCGTATCAGGTCATATTCAATTAGCCCCACCTGTAACATCAAACTTGAACATGACCTATCAACTTGTTACAGATTTACAATTCAAACTTGAACGCGACCTCTCAACTTGCTACAGATTTACAATTCGAAACTAGAACCAAATGAAAACCCAAGGCCATTTTTTGTTAGATAGAAAATAGTAGAGAAATAAACTGTGGTATGGAATTAGAAATGGAATGAGGTCATTCCAATTTCAACTGTTTGACTGGATGGAATTGGAATCCCATTCCCCTTCTTACTGAAATGGCATTCCCCAATTGAGAAAATGGCTATTCCCCCTCCTTTGGGAATGAAATCTAATTTCAATTTCCATTATTATCTGAACCAAACAGAATATGGTAATAGACCATTCTGATTTCAATGGAATTATCCATTGAGAAAATGGGCCCTTACTTTCTTGTTGTATCCAATAACTTGTATAAAAGGGAGATTCCACTTAACCTTTTCTGAATTGACTCAAGCAGTGCAAACCAATTATACCCTTGGGATGTTTGATTTATTTTTTAGGGTTAATTACTTATATAATCTATATATTTAGTAAAGTACTTAAATTAAATGTACCCTAAACTTTCAAAACCTACTTATATATACCTTACAGGATGGCTCTACATAACACAAATAGGCCATATGTTAAAAAAAGAGTCAAAATTGTTATATATGCCATTAATTCTTTTATAATTCCACATTGACCCTTATTCTTCCTTCTCCCCTCTCCTAACTGAGTGAATGGAAGCAATTGTTCTCTCAAAACTGAGGTGACAACCACCATGATCAATTAGATGCAATGATGCAGATGTGGAAAGACCGATATATATATAAGAAGAAAATGTTAGATTGTCAAAGATAACTAGATCTGAAAAGAAAAAAAATCAAAGGACATARTCGTAGATCTAGATGGAATGTTGAAAATATTGTTCTTTCGTGAAATGTTATCTTAAGAAAAAAGAAGAAAAACAACTAAAGAAGGTATTTGAAAAGACAGAGGAATTGAACCAAATTAATCTCTAATACCTTTGATTCTGCTCTGACCCAGAATGACGATTACATTATCAAATTCCATATAGCTTCATTCTTTTCTTAGACACCTCCTAGGAAGACTATGCTAATATTTGTACCAGTTAGTAGACTCCTTTTCCCTTCAACATACGCCTTCTCCAACCCAAACTTGTTTCAATGAATAAAAATAATAAAGAACGAACTTTATTGGTTACTTCAAAGGTGAAGTGAAGTGATAGAGTTGAAGTTGTACCATTTTGTTCCCTCGTAAAGATTATGACTATAATCTCTTGGGTGAGTTCCTTATTATATTTCTCTCATTTGAAGTTTTTGCACATTTTGTACCCTATATAGGGGTGTAAACGGATTGAATTTGAATCGAATCAGACAATATTCAAATGCAAATCCAATTAGAAAATTTGATATCCAACGAATATTGAAAATTAATAATCAAATTCGAATTCAATTAAATATTTGAAATTTTTATTCGACTTGAATTCGACTAATTAATTATTTAGGTAATTAATAAATATATAAGTTTAATATTTTATTTATATAAAGTATATAAATATATAAATTATTTATATAATTTAATTATTATATATAAATTACATAAACCATTTAAATATTTCATATATTATATACAAGAATTAAACAATTAGTCAAATTCGGATATTTATCCAATAGAATAAGGTCATATCCGAATTCAAATGATTAGATATTCAAGTTATCCGAATTTAATTCGATTATGTCAAATCTCGAATTCGAAATCGGATTTTCATATACCACGGACACCCTTAACCCTATAGTGGAATCTTAGATGAATGAGAGCTTTTCCTAATGATCAATAAAATACATTGGTGGTATGGGTGTAATTTTGGTGGGCCTGAATAGACCCAGCCCAAAATTTTATATGGTACTAACAGGGACCCATGCAATGCATGGGAAAATATAAATAAAATTAGTGATTTTATATGGACTAGTAAATGACCCTAATATAAACACATAAGAGTATACAATTGTTTTATATTTTCAACTTTTTAAATAATTAATAATTATTCATATTTTATATACTACTTTTAATAATTTTTTATAATATAAAAATAACAATAATTAATTWTAGTTAGGTTTATTCATCAAACTTATGAAACCGACCAACTTGATCAACTCAACCCTAGTTGGTCGGTTTTCTAGTATTTTATGTCAGCTTTGGTTCAAAAAATTCCCAATTTGACCAAGTTGGATCAGTTTCACTTTAGCCATTTGTAAACCGACCAAAATCAAATGACCTAACCATGGATATATATATATATATATATATATATATATTAAATGTAATTTTTAATATGAAAAAGTGAAAATTTTCTCATATTTCTTAATCTAAAATGTTTCATTTCATAAATCTAATTTTTAAATTTATTTTATAATAATTGTTGTGAGTGAGGTGGTTAGGCTACGTATGGGAGTCTCCTTGAAGGGCAAAAGAAAGCTGAGTGCAAGAGGTAGGCTAAAGGCTAGGGCAAATGAGGTGATAGAACTATTATCTCGTTATGAATTGGACCTCTATTTATAGGGAGAGATCCCAAGGTCCCGAAAGAAAGGAGCCAAAAGTGTTTAGTTCCCATTAGGAAAGGGAATCTTGGATTTGGTGTTAATTGTTAGGGAACACTGTTAGGGTTTCGCCATGTGTCTTATAAGATATCTTAAGGATGAACTTTCCTTTAGTCTGAGGATTAATACACGTGTGCTACTTCCTTTCATGACCCTTTTAAAAAGACATGGCATGAGTGATGTCATTATTTAGCTTGTTATTTAACGACATACGTGTTTCTATTATTTGTTTCTAAGATGCGATGAGTCTGTGCTCATTGCGATTATGTGACGACTTCAAACTTATCGCAAGTCCACGTGGGTCCAAAGCCCATTGTGGTTCTGTGATGGATTTAAACTCATCACAAGTCTGCATGGGTCCAAAGTTTATCGCAACCTGTTTCGGCTATGAGTTCATTATAGATGTGTGATGAGTTATGGACTCATTATAGGCATTCGATAGTATTAGTTTGACACCTCCTCTGTTTTGATGGTTTAAGTGACCACCATGTACCTATAATTGCACTGTAATTTTTAAAATTGAATTTAATTTTTAAGTTTAAATCTTTTGAACCGATTGACCTTTTGTGAAAACTGATACAACTTGAGTGGGTCAGTTTCTACAAAAGGCCAGTCAGCTTCAGCTGACCAACTCCCCAACCTGACCATGTCAATTTGTTAGCCAAATAACTTACAGTCAGTCTGAACCAACTCATGAACACTCATAATTTTAACTAAATTAATAGTTTTATCTCCGATAAATAACAATAGTTTAATATTTAATAATTATTTAAAATTTATAGCGAAAGCACACAATTATTGAAAATATATTGATAATGAAAAAATACAATAATTACAATAATTACAAAAAAAACAATAAGTACTAAAAATATATTAACTTAGTCAATAAATAGTATGATCTCAAATAATAGATTAATTTCTAATAAATATTAATTAATCAATAAGTTATAATAAAAATATAATAAATACAATAAGTACAATAAATTAAATTTAAAAAAATCAATAATAGTAGTTTAATCTCCAATAATTATTTAAAGTTTTTTGTCAAATAACAAAACACAATAAATTTATACATAATCATTGGAAATACATTTATCACAAAAAACAATAAATAATTACTGAAATACAATAAATATTAATTTTAGTATATTTAATTATATAATAAATACAGATTAAGAGTTTAAAATTTTTATTAATAAATATTAATGTTTTTAAAAGTTATTTTCTCGAATTATTACTTGATATAAGTGAAATTAGTTATTTACAATATTATGTAAAAATATTAAATAATTATTAGTTTCAATATTATGTTATAATTACTTTTCTACTTTTGTTATTTTTTTTAAATTTATTACATAATTTATTTATTTTAACTATTTAAAATCTAGTTATGTTAAATATTTTGTTATTTAAAATATTTAGTTATTTAAATACTTAAATAATATGTAAAATATTTAAATTTTAAAATATTAATTATTTTTTGAATTTAATCATCCATAAATTCATAATTTATACTATTATTACATAATTTCATATTAATTTTGTAATATATTAAATTATTAGTAATTTCAATATTATTTTATAATTATTTTTCTACTTAGAAGATTTTTTTTAACTTTATTACATAATTCTGTTATTTTAACTATTTAAAATCTAGTTATGATAAATATTTAAATAATCTATAAAATATTTAAAATTTTTTGTTATTTCAATTTTATTTATTTAAGCTTTATATATTAATAAATATTTGAAAAACATTTAAATTGATAATCCAGAAAAATATAATTTAAATTGTTAGTACATAATTTCATGATATATTTTGTAAAAATATAAAATTATTTTTTGTGTTTTTAATAAATATTTTAAATTATTATATGATTTTGTTTGAATATTTAAATAATTCTTATATTTTTTAATCCAAACTTTATTTACATAGATATAGATAAAAAGTAGGGGAGAGGATAAATAGAAATTAGAGATAACTTAGGAGAGAAACTCTATACTAAATTAAAGATAATTTTGGAGATAAATAAGAACTAGTGATAATTTTGGAGAAAGTGGGGGAGGTAGTTTAGGAGAAATTTTAGGAGAAGTGATTATTTATGTTTTGGGAAAGTGCATCTCATTGGTTGTTTAATCTAATCAAGATAAGGAATGATTACTGTTTTATATTTTTAAAACAAAAGAAAATAAAAAAATACAAAAATGTATAAAATAGATAAATAGCTTCTCTTAAAAGAGAGCTATGAGAGAGAGAGAGAGAGAGAGAGAGAGAGAGAGATGGGCTTGGTTTGGCAGTCCTTGGGCCTAAGAATTTGGACTTTTTTTTAATTTTTTCGGGTATATATTTGCATTTATGCATACAAATATGTATAATTTTAAAGTGAATTCTTTGACCGATCCGAGCCTAACCCAAGTGCATCAAATTACAACGAGATATGGACTTGGGTTGGAAAGATCAGGCTTGACCTCAGATTCGGGCCTTAAGTCCAAATCTTAGGGTTGGGCCTGAGTTTACCATAAATATGGCCGAACCCACCTACTTGCACCCCTAGTTGGTGGCCCTTTTTCTAGGCTAACTCTGCATTCAACATTATCATGACAATTGGAAATTGCAGCGGTGGTTGTACAACACGTGGGAGAATCACTTATTCATCATCAAAATCCCCATAAAGAGAGAACAAGAATTTTATGGGCAATTTTTCTACTAAGATTCCACTTTTGTGTACTATTTCAGCAGTTCCAAGTTTCAAGTGACATTGGCAAGCAATAATCTGTTTTTCTTTATTTAGTAAACCTATTTCAAAGTTTTGTTGAAGTGGTTCAAGAAAAAAAAGTAACATGGAATGTTTTGAAATTTAATGAATAATTAAGGGCATTTTTGTCTTTTACAATTTAATCTGTTAGACTTAACCTTTAATATAGATTTTAAAAATTCATGGTATATTTAAGTAGTTTCCTAAATATACAAAATACATTTAAATAGTTTCAAGAATATAATTGTGATCCAGTTCCATTTTGTCCATTCTCCAAAAAAAGTAATATCAGTTGCTAGAGGCAAGAGCTACAACAGCCCCACTTACAAATAAACAATCAATAGTTGAAAAATCTGGTAAGAGTTTGGACCACTCTGCTGTTTGTTTGAGATTGGGATGTGTAGCCCTTATTATATATCTTGTTTCTAGGAGATACTGATTCCTGACTAAATAGTATTTGAACCCCTTCTGAAGATGAAGATTCCTCCTTGAATTAATACTAATAGGGACACAAGCGTCCTTCAGGGCTGCAAGTCGTGTTGTCCGATTTTGAAGAATATCAACTACATTGGACCAGACCAGGGTTTGGGTTCAGGCCCATATTTTAACAAATTCCCAACCCAACCCATGGTCTCATGCTTTGAAGGACGCTCGCATCCTCAATTTAAGGTTGACAGTAGGACCATTGAGAACCAAGATCCCTTCCAACTGCATTAGAGTTTGTTCGGATAAGAAGAAGGTGGAATAGGTTGAGATATATATGTTGGTACACACAGTTTTACACCATTTGCCACCATTAATAAAACGAAAACAATTCTAGAGATGTCTGAGTAGAAAACAATCCAAGATTCAGATGAAAAACAAAATAGTGTTAAATCAATGTCCATCCTATTTCTCTCTCTCTCTCTCTTTTTTTTTTTTTTGGGTGGGTGAAGAGGGTTGGAGAAGGAAAGTTATCCATTCATGGTGGAAGGTACTCATTATCGTCCTGAACTCAACTGAGAAAGAAAAAAATCCCTAGCAATGGCTTTACTGATTCAACGGAATTCGTCACGGGAATCGTCGTCGTCGTCGTCGTCGTCGTTTTCATTAAATTCGTCATCTTCAAACACTGTGCCGTAGAAAACAAATTCGTGACGGAGCATCTCTTCAAGCGTTAAGCTCCCATCTCTGTCGTCATCAGCCTGAGTTGTATTAAAGCAACAGTTAGAGATTCCAAGGTACGTACTAGTTTGTTGCAACTGAATCAAAGAATCGTGCAAGATGGGTCCTAATTGAGCAAAGCAAAAAAAACAGAGAAAGTGCATCTTTTGTCACTCACCTCGTGCATTAGATAGCTTGCATAGTGTTTAGCATAGGATATTTCTCCAGGTTGAAGGTGGTGCATTACGGGTACCAATTCCTCCTCTGTCAAGAATCTGTACACAAATCAAACCAGAGAATCAATATTGCTTAAGATCAATCGCTGGTGAGTCTAAACAAGGTAATAATTAGTTTGCTAGCTAGCTAGTCAGAATCGTATAATAATTAATTCCATAAATAATAGAATAATAGGTACTCGTCTGAGTTCACGTCAAGCTCCGCAAATTTTTCTCCAGCACCTGGCGCCTCATAACCTATTTCCAGTTCCATATAACTCTTGATGATACCATAAGCTCCATGAGAAAATTCCTTGAAGTTGATTCTGCCATCTTTGTCCTGGTCCATTGCCCTATACGCCATGACGACATCGTAATTCGTAAGTATACATATATAACTACAAAGTAGAAACAAATTAAAGGATGCATGGAATAATTTACTTAATCTTTTCTCTCAACAGCCAGCGCCGAACTTTATGATTGTTGCTATCTTCAGGGTGCAAAAAACTGCAGCAAAATGGTGATTCTTGTTCATCATCAAACTGGGAAAGGAAAAGGAAAAGTGTGGGGGATTAATTATTCTTGGAAAAATTCATACTCGTTGAATTCGACGGCATTGAGAGATTCATCGCCGTCTGCATCTGCGTTAGAAAATTGTTCCCTCAACCACCCAGCTTGCCCGGTGCTCATGTCATTTTTCTCTGTTTCACATTTACATAGAATGACAGAATGTATTATGAATTATATATAAAATCTACGGATGCCTCGTTAATATTAATAAATTATCAAGTAGAAACAAGGAAGCAAGCAAGAGAACAAAGGAAAGGAAAGAAAGACAGCATACTGCTGCATACCTATCTCCTCTTGGGAAAACCGATAGAGACATTCCTTGAGAGAAATTACGCCATCCCAATTGGTATCGCGTACCTCCATCTCTTTATATGTCCTATAAGATAACCTATCGGTTGCTTGTTGAACATTCCAATCAACAAGCTCCTTTAAACTAATCAATCCATCGTCAGGAGACGTGTCTAGCAGAGGAAACAGAACAAGCAACCTGTCTGTTATGTTTAGCTTCCCCTCGTCATTTAATAATTCCTCCATGTCCCCAAACTCACTGGAAAATAAGGCAGATTCCCAAGTTGTTGGGGAATCCCAGTCGCTTAATCCCTTTTCTTCGGTCTGTTTCTCCAAATGCGCAACCAGTGGGTCAAATGGTACATGCCTGTAGCCCAAGCGACGACCCAGGCGAAGGTGTTCAGGACCCTTGCGGGGAGGAAGAGAGGTGATGAGGAAGATGACGAAGACAGTGGCCCAAATGGGATAGACCACCGCCTTTGCCATCTTCCGACGAATTTATGAGCACCTGAGAAGCGTTCCAAGCTTTCGTGTGCTTAAATAATGGTTGGGGAGAAAGATACGACGGCCCGCCTAGCGACACCGTTCGTTCCAAGTCAAGGGCACAAGAGCGTTTTTCGACTTGGTGTGGTATTCGGCGTTCCCGACCAACAAGATCGTATTAGGAGAAAGAGATAAAATAGCTTCTTCAAACACATGGCAAGCCTGAGCGTCAAAATAAGGGAGGGTCTAGACTCTACATATGTTTATACTTTTAAGTGGTGTTAATTCAAAATTTGAATATCTTTAAATACTTTTAGAGTGGTGTGAATTGTGAAATGTGAATCCCTTGCTCCCATCACCTATTCCAATGGGCTATTTCACGGCCTTTTTTTTTTTAAGTTGGAAATTGCACGTGCTAACATAGCATCTAGACTTCCAAAACTTGTCAATTTAGTCCAAAATTGTTAACCCCCATTAAGTAGCATATGAAAAAGGCATAAATGCCCTATGGGTGTCATCTAATTTCATCTTCTTGACAAGAAGATAATGAACATTGTTTTATTTCAAAGGTTAACTTTGATATTTTAAAAGGTTTTAAGTTGTACATGATGTCACATGATGCACATAATTGATGGCGGTACATTTGGAAATTTAGGCATTGGATTGGCACGTTTTGAAGTTTGGGGGCCAAAGTGAGATTATGCCCAAAGTAATACAGAGTACTAATATGCAATTTTTCCAAACAACAACAATAATAATAATAAAGTTTCATGAATTTTCAAATTTGGATATGTTTTGAAATATATTAGGAAAAATTCTTGATAAGTACCCTGGACATTAGGGGTTGTTTCAAGTCAGTCCCAAACTTTAAAATGTGTCTCTACAGTACCCCCAAACTTTCAAAATGTGTCTAATAGGCCCTTGTCATTAACAATTCATCAGTTATCTAATCAGGTGATGACATGTGCACTTAAAACTCTTAAAAATGTCAAAACTACCATTCAAAAGAAGGCATTGTTCATTGTCTTCTACCTTGAAATGACAACAGTTTCTTCGGAGTCAAAGGTGTCAAGCCAAAGACAATGCTGGTTCTCATAGATTTAACCACCCCAACGGTCGTTGGACTGAGCGACTACACCTTTGTATATGGAAGATTAGATCTTTATTGTTGGGTCCATCATGAGTTGTGTTGTCTACCACAACTGTTGGAGTACTATTCTTTGTTGGCAAGACATTCCGATTAGAGCGGCTGCACTAGGTAGTGAAGAGTTCAGCTTCAGTCCAAGCACCCTATGTCAGGGCACCATTCGTGCATTCAGAGGATGCACCACGCATCCCCCAAATCATGTGAAGGGCTGAAGCATGCGAGCATTTTGCTTCACAACCATTAGTTAAGCAAAACAAGCGTTTTGCTCCTCCCTCTCCTCTCCTATCATAGACGAGACATCTCTCCTCCCCCCTCTCTCTCCCCATTCGCTCGGCGACGACTTCACAACCATCACTTGCGGCGAGATTAACCTCAAGTATTGTTTTCTTTGCATCTCTTCTTCTTCCATGAAAACTAACCCTAATGGCTACGACTTCACAACCATCACCAGCGGCAGGATCAACTTCAGGTATTGTTTTGTTTGCATCTCTTCTTCTTCCATGAAAACTAACCCTAATGGTTTTGGATGGCAGCCATTAAGCCATTAGGGTTAGTTTTCATAGAAGAAGAGATGCAAAGAAAACAATACTTAAGGTTGATCCCGCCGCTGGGCAAATGGGGAGAGAGAGAGAGGGAGGAAAGATGTCTTGTCTGCGGGAGGAGAGGAGAGGAGAGGAGCAAAACACTTATTTTGCTTAACTTAGACTAACGGCGATGCACACTAACAGGACTGAAGCATCCTTGCATGCTTCAGCCTTTCACACGATTCGGAGGATGTCCTCCGAATGCGTGAGCAGTGCCTTGACATAGGGTGCCTGAACTGAAGCCGAACTCGGTAGTGAAACAATTGTGCATCCTCTAGCTACCATTAAGTGCCTTGGAGATGAGAAGAAACATTTTAGAGTTTCAGGGACTGACTTGAGACAACCCTTAAAGTTCAAGGTACTGATCAAGAATTTTCCGAATATATTAAAAAAACGGTGAGTAAGGCTTTTTTTTTACCAAATTGTCCACTCTCATCAAATTGGGAAAGGAGGCAAAAGTTTGCTCCTCTTGAACACTGAATCAGACTATCTTTGGTTACTATTTTGAATTGGGCAAATTTTTAAAGTACATCTAAGTTTTAGGAAATTGACTTGTCCATATTGTTTAGAAATTGTCTTAAAGTGCTCCCTAAGTTTTCTGACAATTGATTAAAGCCTTGTCATTATTAACGAAAAAATAGAAAAGCTTATTTTATTCATCATTCTTTTTAAAATATTTAAAATGTAACATTTGAATAAACTTACCGTTAATGGAAATTCAAACACCAAACCGACTGCCCTACACCCTTGATGGTCATCTCTATTCCACAAATTGAATTCCATTGGCCTTCACTTCAGAACTATTGAATTCCAAGGCGCACTTATTTCTCTCCATAAATTCCTCTTTTGTTTATTTAACGTTAAAAAGAACCCTGTAATTGTTCTTTCTCTGCATTTCTTTCTTAAATCAGGCACCAAATATTCCACAGGAAATCTCAACACGTACCAACTTTCTTTCTCATATTCTTGCATTTTATTCTGTAACGTACATAAGCTATATCTTATCAATGACTGTTCCATTTTTTCAACTTCTTGCTAATATAGCATAACGATACAACATAAGAAGTATACAAGCATGAGTAAATTAAATGAGTTGTCCTATTGCTGCATGAGGAATTAACAAACATCAATTTATGGCTTTACGCTAACATATTTCCATTTGTTTCTTTTAAGTTTAAATACTTTCGACCTCAACAAGCATTAATGTTGACAACTCTGACTATAAAGGAACAAGACTCTGTATGAATAGACCTTCCCACCACCTCAGCAAAGTCATCACAGATCACTCACTGTTGGAAATAACTTCAGTAGGGTTATTGAAAGAAAAATTGGATGGGGGCCTAGCTACTCCCTGCTGACAAACAAACCTTTCCTAAAGCAAAAATTACAGTTTATCACACCATTTTCTCATCACTTTGTCCTACTCCTTGATACCTCTCCTAGAAATATTTTCATAAACTTTACTGAAAGTACTTTGGAAAAGTTCTTTTATAAAAGCATTTTTCAAAAAGTACTTTCATAGATTTTTATAAAATATAGAAGTGCTTTTGTAAAAATACTTTTATAAAAGTACTTTCGTAGAAGTGTTTTTATAAAAGTGTTTTCATAAAAGTAGTTTTATAAAAGTGCTTTCATAAAAAATCTTTCATAAAAGTGATTTTCTAAAAGTGCTTTCATAAAAGTACTTCCATAAAAGTTTTTTTTTGTAAAAGTTCAAAGTATCGGAAACACTGTGCGTATTGGAAAGGCAAATTTAAGAGACGTATCTGGATACACCTTGGATACGCATGGATATGGACAAAAAATTAAAATATGCATGTAAACACATGAAAATGCTATAAATACTCTAATAAATCATAAATAAACATCAATATCACTAAATATAAGACATAAATGAACTATTTGTGCATAAAAATAACACATTTTAGTGGGTTTTATGAAAAAACATATTATAATCAATAAACGAGAAGTTGGGAATAGAAACATACTATCTAATTATGGACATAATAGATCAAGTAATTATTTTGCATGTTTTATTCTAGTTTTCTAAAGGCTAAATAATTATTTATTTTTATTCAAATAATTATTTTGCATATTTTGTTCTAAAAATTAAATTAAAATTAAGAAAAGTAAATATGTAACAAAAAATTGAATGGATTTATGGACATAATAGATGAAATAATTATTTTGCATATTTTATTCTAAAAATTAAAAAAAATATCAATGTTTTAAAACACAGAGGCATTCCACTACCTAGAGGCGTGAAGCATAGTTCAGAATGCAAGAGGTAGCATATTGTATTTGCATTTCTGCCATAGTAAAATCGTATTGTATCAGCCGATACACAATCATATCGGTAGCGTATCGGCTGATATAGTGCCAAAACGCACTGATACTCAATGATACGGGCACGATACGACCTCGATACGACGAATAGATACGACACATTCAATTTGGTACCATGTACCATGCCGAAAACTTGCTGGAACGATACGTATTGGCCGATACGTGACAAAATTTTGAACCTTGCGTAAAAGTGCTTTTATAAAACTACTGTAAAAGTGCTTTCATAAGTACTTTTGATGCTTTCATAAAAGTATTTTTATAAAAGTTCTTTCATAAAAATACTTTTCATAAAATTATTTTTATAAAAGTGCTTTTATAAAAATGTTTTCGTAAAAGTGTTTTCATAAAAGTGCTTTCATAAAAGTGATTTTATGCTATTTTCAGTTTTGATTGATTTCAAATTGGACAAGGGTAGCCTCATGACAGGATTATTGGAAATTTGGTTTAAGTCTAATTCAAACCAATAAGAATATGGACCAATTTATTTTGGATTGCCCAATCCAATAATTATAATGGACCGTCTAAATCTGATTTGATAAGGTTTGGATCAAATTGGATCCAAACCAAAACCGGTCGATTGACACCCCTAGCTCAAATAACCACCTAAACATGCCAACTAAGCTACAAAAGTGTAAATTTTACCTCAAAGACTGAAACTCCAGGAAATTTGGAAGAGTTGAGAAGGAACTAAAGAGTCTTGAAGAAAAAATTGCAAAGTTCGAAAGAACAAAGGGTCATTCTAATAGTGGGGAGCTAAATAAGTTGAGGAATGAATTTAAGAAGTGGCTTCTTGGAGAGGAGCAAATGTGGATAATGAAATCTAGGGAATTATGGTTAAAAGAAAGGGATAGAAACACCAGGTTTTTTCATCAAACAACAAACTTAAATAGAAGGAGAAACTCCCTAGAATTCTTAGAAAAAGATGAAGTCTCATGAGCTTAGAAGAAGTGGCGGAAAGCTTTAAAAACATTCCATTGAGATAAGTGATGTTAATAATCCCCATCCGGTTAACTTACAAGACCTCATCATTGCCAAAATCATTGAAGTAGAGGTAGATGTCTTGCTAGCCTCTCCCTAGAGGAGGAAATAGAAAGTATAATGAAGTCTGATGGTGCACAATCCGGCTGGTCCTAGCTGTCAACGGCCTTGCCTCTGAACAGAGCTATAGGGAGCCTGAAACAGAGAAGATGGGGAAGCTCCGGGGGGAACCCGGTATGAATGCTCCGAAGCTCAAGTTAGAATTCTTAGGCAAGATAAAACCA